CTTCTCCTAACTTCCCATTTTTCTATAAATGACATCTATATTTTCCTAGTCCAACTGTCTGTGACACTGACATCGATTTTCCTAGTAAAAATTGAAGGTGGCACTCTCCCTCCCCCTTAACTGCATAGCCAACATACTGCCACATCCTGTAGCTTCCACCTCCTTAGTATCTCTTGCAGGAAACACATGAAACCCCTTCATTCCACTCTAGTAAAGGCCTGGTAGGTTGGATTCTCCCAGAAGCAGACATGAGAGAAGGATGTGCGTGCAAGCCGTTCATTTGGAAGGTGATACAGGAAGCGCTGGGAAGGGAGTGGTGAAGTCACAGAAGGGTAGGAAGGTAATAGAGTATGTTATCAGCACTGGGTGGTTGTGGACAACAGGGACTCAATCTCCTTGGGAGACACAGGAAAACTCTGTAGAACATGGCTCAAAATGATCCCAACTGAGTGGTAAGGGAGCTGGGTAATTTACCCACCAACTGCCTTCAGCCACTGGTAGAAGTCCGTTCCTGGAGGATGTTAACTCCCTGGCATGTCTGGTCTGTCCCAAGAACAGGTGCAGCGGGCTTCAGTGCCTAGAGAAGGCCCCTATCAGTTATAGGTGCTTGCAGTGTGAAGCCATCAGATAGGCATGCATGGACACGGGTATGCTAAGTGCCAAGGGGATAAAGGCATGGCCCTCACTGTCTTTGCTACTCACCTGAACTGCTACAATGACTTCTCACCTGGTTAACTTCTACTCCTTCCACAACAATCCATAATGCTACATTCCACTCACTGCCAGATTCATCTTCTTAAAGAACACGTCCAGCTCCAATCATAACAGCCTGCTGCTGAAAACCCTTCATTCGCTCCCCATTGCCTACTTAATTCAGTACAAAGTCCTCAGCCAAGTGTTCAAGGTCCTCCACATTATGATGTCAAGCAACCTTTCTGCTCTGTATTTTACTACTTCTCTGTATGTATTCATTCAGACAAATGGGACACTGCTGTTCTCTTGCCAGCTAGGCCTCTTAATATCCTTGCCACCCTAGTAACCTTCTCCTGCGAGGTTTCCTTCACTGTCAACTTTGCCTGTTGACATTGTGTCCATTATTCAAGGCCCATTCATGGTAGGCCAGACAGCCTCAACATATGGCAGACAGCAGGTAAGCCTTGGCCCCTGGTCTCCGGGACCTCACAGCCTTTCCCAATTCTACCCCTAATTGCCCTGTCCAGCCTGCTCCCTGCCCCACTACTCAGGTGAGTCTTTATTATTACCCTACCTCTATGACAGTCAAACACTTGTTGACTTGAACTGAAACACACTGGACTGAATGTAAGAAGACCTGATTAATAAGTTCTGATATGTAAAACTATGTGGTTATATCACAAAATCTCCTGCTACTTAATGGGCTCCAGCAGGAGCCCATACGCCTTCTTTCTCCATAGGATCTAACGTTAGAACAAGCAGAGCCTATAGAACTCCAACACCCATCAACAAAAGGATTCACCCATGATACACAGCAAAGGCACTTATGGGGGCAATACATTGAATTGGTAAGCCTTGCAAAGATATTCTTCAAGCCTGCAGATATAATTAGCAGCTTTTTATAGGAAAGATGTTACAGTTAAGTCTCAGTTTGCTAGGGCTACTAATCCAATCAGCAACTATACTACTGCAGTGATTTCCCTGCTTCCAGAACAAAGGTAGACTATGCCACACCTACTCAGGAAAGGTATGAAGGAAGAACTGGCAGGACTCAGTCAGGTGGTGAAAACTCCTCCTAGGGTGAGACGAGGATGGGAAAGGTGTTCTGCCAAAATGCAGGGAATTCAAAGTATAAATAACTTACCGGCAGATGATTAGGCAAAATTTTTTAATACATTGGACAAAACCATTTGACAATAATTATAAAAACCAAGATAGTTCAAAGGCAACTATGGTCAGAGAAAAACAACAGTAATTAATTTAATGGCTGTTAAGAGGTTAGTTTTTAAAGAAGCACTGAAGAGAACAATAAAGTATAACTAATTCCTCATTATTTATATGTAACAGATAAGAATAAAGTATATGTTTTATATTTATCTGTGGACTATATCTAATTTATCCTTCTTAATCAACCAAGGGCTTCTAAAAAGTAGACTGATTTCTCCCTAACCTGAGAGAGAATTGTCTTGTCCTGGATTTGGAAGACCTCTGTTTTAGAACACAAATTTCATTAAAAAAAAAAAAATTTTTTTTTTTGGTTTAGAAACAAATTTTACAGATTCACCCTGTTAATCAGGCAGGCTGATTCTTCCTAGCTATTCTGGGAAGAGATTAATTTACTAATCTGCAGTAGAAGCCATAACCCAGAATCCTCTCTCTTAGTACTCGGGTTTAGGTAACATCATACAGAACCAAGTGGCCCAGGATTTTAGTTTTCTGTCCAGTAAAATGAAAAGTGAAATAGACATGTCTTTTTAAGAATCATTTTAATTTCACATTTACTTTATTGTAATGTCTAATATTTAGTCATCAGGAACTTAGAATAGTTCATTTTACAGTCTTTCTTAAGTATTTAATGATCTGTACTCAAATATCTGATAAGATGCTGTTTAAATGAATCTTGTGATTATTATGTTTCCCCCGAAAGGAATAATCCTTTTATAATAGAATTACTTATACTCTATTTGATCTCTAGAGTGATTTTGTTGTTGCTGCTGTCTTCACACCCTCCATTCCATGTCCAGTATCTGGTGAACTGTCCAAATTGTTCCTAGGAAAATGGATCTTATTTTTGAAAGACAAATTTGTTAAATAAGAATTCAGAGAAAAGAAAAAATATGGGTACATAGATAAAACCATCACTTTAATGAACCATTATTTCACCTAATAATTGATAGACATAAAATGACCACATGTCTGAATTTGCCTGGGATTTTGCTCATCTTTTAAAAATAACTAACCACAAAGAAATGGGGCACAGGAGACAGTCTGGTCACCTGTGAGCCACGTTCCTTGTTCCTGCGAACGAGCAGAATGGCTGTGGTATAGCTCGTGCGGTCACGCTACACTACCGCACCTATAAAGGAGCTTGGTTAGTGGCTGAGAGCAGGTCAGCCAGGCAGACAAGAGTTCGTTTCAGACTCTTGAGAGGAAAATATCATGCTCTACCCTGGCAGGGTTTGTAGGCAGCGGTGACTCACCGGGGCCAAGGTCCTACGGTAGGCTGCCACATCCAGGGCTACTCACCACCGCACAGTAATTTTCAACCTTTAGACTCGCTGGAGAGTGTTACAAACAATGACAGATACTGGAACTCCACCCCTAGACCAAATGCATCAGAATCTCTGGGGTTGGAGTTCAGGGACTGGTATTTAAGCTGATGTGGATTCCGATGTGCAGCCAGGGTTGAGGATTACCGTTCTAGGAGAACAAAGAAACAGGCTGACACCTGGGCCAAGAGAAGAGGAGGCTGCAGTGACAAGCACAACAAACCTATCCTGAGTCACTTGGAAGGAGGGAAATCCAGCTTTACAAGGGTCCAGGATTCCTTGCAGTGCACTGGGAAGTACTCCCAAACTTTTCCTACTTTATAGGACCACCTGGTACACATGAAGCATTCAATAAATGGTAGCTAGCTATTAAATTAGAGTCCTGGTGGCACAGTGGTTAAGAACCACAGCTGCTAACCAAAAGGTTGGCAGTTCAAATCCACCAGCCACACCCTGGAAACCCTATGGGG